GTGCCACTCTTCAATGTGTCCGCAGGAAAACTGTTTTTTTGCTTTTTGTTCACTACGGTGTCCTCATTGGCTTTTCCCTTCTTACCTGCTTTCAAATTATCCGCAGGGCGGGTGTTCTGTTTCTTTGTACTGGAAGCACAACTTTTTTCATTAGCAGTACTGATATTTACCACCGAGCAAGCACGCTTCTTTCGCTACATGTGGTTTGAACTCAAGCTCTGTTTTTGTCTCGTAGTTACTGGAGTCGGCCACCATGGGATCACAAATGGGAAGACAGCTCTCCTATGGTGATTCTGAATCGTACCATAGCTACGCGGAGTGCTCAAATAACACGTTATCCTTCCTCCATCATTAATGTTGAACATGACAACGTGTCCAATAAAATCTACATACAAGATATCATCATCATTTGGGTCGAAAGCAAGCAACATTATCTCATCGCGCCAGCAGCTCTGATCTCTCCATTTCATGATCACTGGATTTTGTGAAAACATCCCGTTCAGGGAAATTCTGCGTACTAAATGCCAATTGCTATCGTTATCGACCTGATCATCTTTCAACTCCCAAACACTCAGCCGATCCATGAATCCATCTTCATTATTTCCGCTGAACTGGCACATTCGCAGACGCTCTCCTCCTCCTCCAACTCTACACACACTTGGGAGATCAAATGTTGCAGTGACAGGGACCTGATCATCTTCAGGATTATCAATGAAACGACAATTATATTTTTTATCAACATTTTTGTTTGAGTAGGGATCCAAACCAATAAGAGAGCCAGCACTACTGCTCATCCAGTACAACATTCCATTGTAAGCAACGCCTTCATGTCTTACAGCCAGATAGAAGCTTCTTGGGCATAACACAATTGTTTCTGTCCATTTACCAGTCTCAGAAGAGAAGATCTCTGCTTTGAATTGGAAGGAAACCCCTGGAGATTCAGGAATTATACGCACAACCCTGTACCTATACAGAGTATTAAGCTGGAATAATGCTTTACTAGTACTACTTTCTTCTTTTCTTTGGTCGGTATCTTCCTTGCATTCCTTATAGTAGGGATCACAGATGAATCCAACACCTACTTCCTCGTGGCATTGAGGAGGAGAAGGAAGAAAAATTTGTTGTATTTTGTCTAATCCACATATAGAGACTATCAGTTTGCATACAAACTAAGCACTTACTTTTCACAATCAGATGACTATCAATTTGAAGGGACGGAGCTAGAATTTATAATTTTGGTGGGGGGGCAAAACTTCAAGCGCTAATGGAATTTGTAACAATATTTCAAAGAGCTGCTTACTTTCCATCGCCTTGTTTATTGAAACTCCGTTAGAATCTACAAAAAATTCATCGTAATCAAACGGAATAGTGAGCGTATAATGGAATGTCAAATAAGTTTGGGGTGGTTTCAATTGGGTTGCAACCAAATATATATTACAAGATCAAACAGGCCGTCACCATATATTATATTACTAGATATAGTAACTTTTTAAATGATGCCAAGGGTTAAAATAAGTTCGAGGATTTAATCGAACTTGTTGTTTCGTGGTAAGTAACATATATAACACTATACTTTTCCACCTATAAGAAGCAACCTTACCACCTACTATTTCCCTCCTCATCTTCTCTCCTCCACCTGATCTAATACTACTACTGCTTGTACTGCTAGTGCCACTCTTCAATGTGTCCGCAGGAAAACTGTTTTTTTGCTTTTTGTTCACTACGGTGTCCTCATTGGCTTTTCCCTTCTTACCTGCTTTCAAATTATTCGCAGGGCGGGTGTTCTGTTTCTTTGTACTGGAAGCACAACTTTTTTCATTAGCAGTACTGATATTTACCACCGAGCAAGCACGCTTCTTTCGCTACATGTGGTTTGAACTCAAGCTCTGTTTTTGTCTCGTAGTTACTGGAGTCGGCCACCATGGGATCACAAATGGGAAGACAGCTCTCCTATGGTGATTCTGAATCGTACCATAGCTACGCGGAGTGCTCAAATAACACGTTATCCTTCCTCCATCATTAATGTTGAACATGACAACGTGTCCAATAAAATCTACATACAAGATATCATCATCATTTGGGTCGAAAGCAAGCAACATTATCTCATCGCGCCAGCAGCCCTGATCTCTCCATTTCATGATCACTGGATTTTGTGAAAACATCCCGTTCAGGGAAATTCTGCGTACTAAATGCCAATTGCTATCGTTATCGACCTGATCATCTTTCAACTCCCAAACACTCAGCCGATCCATGAATCCATCTTCATTATTTCCGCTGAACTGGCACATTCGCAGACGCTCTCCTCCTCCTCCAACTCTACTCACACTTGGGAGATCAACCTACTTCCTCGTGGCATTGAGGAGGAGAAGGAAGAGCTTCCCACTGCTTGGTGTATGCATTGCAAAGGTAGTAATCACGTTGAAAACGCATGGTTGCACAACATAAAACTAAGTCGTTATATGTTCCTACCACCATTGGTTCACCCTCTTCTGTCTTGACAGGCCCTTGAAAACAAGGGAGGCATCTCAAAGAGAACTTGAGCTTTTCGGGCGCTGGAGGCTGCTTGGACATGGAAAAGAACTTGCTTGTGTACTTTGGATTTGTGAAGAATTCTCTTCTGTGCTCTGGATTTGTGAAGATTAGTCTAGGACGTGGAATGGGCTTTTGGTTATCATTTTGTTGACGTAGAAATCGGCCAACAAAATAAGGATTATAAACGAGACTATACCAACGCTTCGAGACACAAGTGCATTGAACTGCATATTCACGGGGAAGTCGACAAAGGATTTCAACCAATACGAAATCAGGGAGATCATCAAGATTGAACATGGTGGTGGGTTTTGATATAAGTTTCAATGGCGATGTGTTTTTTTTATCTTTGTAAGTGGGACTCGCAGAGTGGTCCAAGAGATTGAGATATATTGTAGTGTTGAAGCTTCGTTTTCTGTTGGTAGTAGTATCACCAGGTCTCGTGGTGAAATTAAGACGGACGGATTGATGGGCAGATCGATTGCAGAGAGATTTTGAGAGTTGGGACGTGCGTATGTCTTGAGCGTTTGCGTTTTGGAGATTTTGGGTTAAAGCTACAGAATCTTTATATAATGTATGTAATTACGAATCCCAATACAAGTGAAATAAGATATCTCAACCCAATACAAAAAGAAATAGGAAAGGAATACAAAAAGAAATTAAGACCGATTGAATTTTTATTTGGGAGCTTCACTAATATACCCAAAATAGGGGCTGAAATTATAAAAAAA